GGGCTGGTTGCAGGGAGACTCCCAGCTCCCGGTGCTCCTTAGTCCAGGTCCAGGCGCAGCCGATGCATTTCCCGAGGTGGTGCGTGGCGTTGTGGGCTCGGCTCCACAGCGAGGCAAAATCCTTGCCGTCTCGGCTGAACTCGCCCTCCAGCAAGCTGCTGAGGAAGGTGGCCAAGTCTTGTCAGGTAGGCTGCCTTGTTATCCTCTTGCGGGCAGTCTCCTCGAGGGGGCTGGTGGCGATAATACTTACCATTGCATCCAGGCAGGTCACGAGGCGGAAGGCGTGGGTGACCACCGCGATATCGCAGAGGTCTCCCATGCGGGGGACGCTGGTGCCTCCCTGCCGGTAGGGGACGTACAGGACCTCGTTGCTGGCCCGTAGTGGCAGGTGCAGCCATTTCTTGAGCAGCTGCCGGATCTTGGTGTCCGCCTTCTTGAGGGGGGTCTTGGAGATGAGGAAGGTGTTCACCGCATTTATCTTCTGCCAGGGGGCCAGCAGGGATCGGTCCAGTTTGTGGGCGTCCTGCACGATCCTGTTGATGGTCTCCTCTGGCATCTGCTTGGCCTGGTGGCCAGCAGGCGTCCCCAGGTGGCAGTAGGCCTCGCCGTCGTGCAGGTGCTTCATCACCTGGCCCTGGATCATTAGGGTGGATATGTCTGAATAAAGGATGGTGCCTCTGTACTCCAGTGAGGAAGGCACTGCCCTATAAGGAGAGACTCTGGGCTTTCAGTTCCTGCCCCCAGGCCTGTGTGAATTTTACATTACGCAGGCATTGGTCTAAAAACAGAGATACCTCAGCCTCTGGAACCAGAACCGGGGACATCTCTCCCTTCCTCTCATGGCTGGGGGACAGGAGGCCCATTGGAATCACTGGGCTACAGAACCATGCTTTCTCTTGCCTTCTGTCGTTCTGGTTGCTTGACTCCTGCACTTTTATCTTCCCAGAGGCCCAGCTTCCACAGAAGGAGTGAAGCGTGCCTCACTAAGCCTACCCTATAACCTGATGGGTAGGACTCTCTCATGAAAATCAGCAAATGTGAGGAAGATCTAAAGCCCAGACCTTCCATTTCCTAGGTGGATACTTTAACTACCAACCAATGGGCTAAGATATGGGCAGCGACATTTCCATTAGCACCATTTTGGAGCTGTCACAGATGACAGTTGTGTGCTCCACACATGCCTACCAGATTAGGTCAATCTGGGTATATAGGCAACTCCCCTGTAGTAAACTGGATTGAAATGGAGTTTAGGTGCAAGTTAAATAATACCAGTTGGTGATTTCAGTTGTGAGTGGAAGAATGTGATTCTAGCCCCAAGACAGGTAAGGGTACAAGGCCCAAAGACCTGAGCTAGGAGTCTTCAGTACAGCAAGCCCTGGAGCTACTTTGACTGGAACTAATGGCCATCATCATGGATCAAAGGAAAATGGCTGATAGTATAGCCAATAAGTGTACAAAAGCAACAGAGGTAGCACAAATCACCTTTGTGTAGTAAAATAAACTGCAAAGGGCAAACTCCCAAAGTCATCAAAAGAGCAAACCATATCACAAGGTCTCCTGCTTCCTGAGGGATTCCAAGACAGATATTAGGCATTGTTACAAGGCTGTTGGACATGGATTAAGTAAACCAGAAGCAGTAGTTGTAGATGACCAAAACAGAAAAGGGAGAGAGGAAGAGAGCGAGCCTCTCCTTGGGTACAGCACAGGCTAGCGGGGCTTACTTTGCAACTGCTAAGTAACCACCCTGCCTTTGGGCTGTGTGCTCCTCCCACTGCTCAGGGAAACAGGGTTTCGTGCACATTTTTGTGAATAAGCAGGTTTACCTGAATAATACATCCTTGTCAGCAATTTGCCATCTGAATACAAATCATCCCATAAGGGACAAATCTCAGCTTTCCATTCTGCCTAAAGAGCAACACTAAAGGGTTCCCTGTCTAAAAAAAGACAATTCTGAAGTGGATCACATCAGTTTTGAAGCAGAGAAAAACATGGTGAAAATTAAGGGGAAAACTGAACCCTATAAGGGAAAAAAATATTGTTCTAATTAGGTCCTTTAAAAAAAAAAAGAAAAGGGAAAGTTCTGATCCTGCTCACATAGTTGTCAATGGTGGGGTTTTGTCCTTCATTTGGTACGAAATAGCATATGTAGATGAAACAGGGGCCTTAAACTGAAGTGGTGGGGTTTTAAACCCCCCGCTTCAATTTAGGGCCCTTTAAACCCCCATGTCGTTCATACACCCTGCACTTACCTGCCTCTCCAGTGGCGGGGAGGGGA